CTGATAGAACTCTTCTCGGGCGAATACTTGGTCTGGATCGTTCTTCATCTTGTGCAGGTCAAACACAATCTTCTTGGCCTCCTCGACTCGACCCTTCAGCAGGAGAAACCGGGGCGATTCGGGCACAATCAGGCACACGACGATCATGAGGAGAGCAAAGAATATGCCGATCCCGATCGGAGCCCTCCACTGCATCGACGGATTGTCATCGATCGTGTAGAATCCTAGGCCGATGCATGCTGCAATGGTATATCCCACGCCGACGTGGATGCCATTCATGCCCGACATCAGGCCTCGAAGATCAGGCGGAGCCAGCTCGGAGACAAATAGAGGTGCTGAGAGAGGGCATTAGCAGGGGCGTGATCCAAGGATGTTCCTTTCTGTGAGGGCAGGAGACAATCTTACTGGTGACCTGGAACCCCCAAGCCCCAAAGCCCGTAATGAACCGAGCGACGATGAACATGGCGATGTTACGACTGCCGGTCTCCAAAGCAGTACCTAGAGTCAAGACCGTCGCGGAAACAATGAACGATGGCTTCCTGCCAAAGCGGTCCGTAATGAAGCCGGCGAGAACAACACCGAAACATGCGCCTGCCTATTGAAGACTGATTAGTCGGAAAACGAAGGAGAGAGGTTAGTAAGGTCCACACGAGAAGGAACCTACAAAGTACACGCCCGATACAGCTCCAATCAGGGCATTTCCATCCGAACTCAGAGCACCTGTTTCGGCGTCCACAATGCCCATGTACGTCAGGAATGAGCCGGTCCCCAGAGTGATGCTGATCCCAGAGGATGGATATCCGCAGGCGAGCTGGCCCAGCGAGACGAGCCAGCACACAAAGAAGTTCCAGCCATTCCAGTGGCCGTGGCGCATCTTGGAGAACATGATGATCAGGGGAACTGGCAAAGGGTGCTTACTCCGAACGTGTTATCGCGCCGGGGAGGGGGTTTCTGTCTAGTATATTGTGTTAGGGTGAGCATCGCAGCTTCATATACTTTCAAGTGTTCGCACAGTCGCCCATAGCCTGGTCCAGCTTGGGTGCGCCGAGACTTGCTTTCCTCGCCTTGAGTCGCTTCCCAGGACAGGGTGGGTCAGAGAGAAGCAGACTGTGATGGTGTTGATGGTCCCTCACCCCATGGGGCGCCATGACCCATGGCCGGGGTGTCGGATCAGAGCCAATAAGGTCGAGGTCGAGAACTTGCTGCCCCGGACGTCTCCAGTTTGGGTCTTGGGCTGGGCCCGAGCCATTTTTGGTTAGCGTCATTCGGACCGCCGGACCGGGGTCAATCAGGCCAATGAAAATGGAGAGACGGCCTTTCCCCACAAAATTATAGCACGAGGGTATACTGGTTTTCGGCAAGTCAAAAGGTCCTTGCGCCTGCCAGTACAACCCTGGGGTATCGGTCCGATATATACGTCGTACGATGGATGAGCAACACATAGTCACGGCTCGGGCTGCGATATTTGTGCATTCCATACTTTGTACATAATTTCTTCCCCCATGCTTCGAGAGAACTCATGTAACTATGGAAGGGCGCGGTAATCTCACCTGCATGGAGACTGTTGATCATGGCCCCTATCTGACTGTAGCTGTAAAGCCACCGAGCGGGAGAGATGACTAACCTATATGTTAACTCTCTAGCTACAACACTGATTGCCCCAATCTGAATCCTCGCAAGGTGGCAGGTAATATAGCATTATGACCAAATGATGAAGTACGATACCTGTAGAGAGAGGCTCAACACCTGTTACCTCCCCTATAGGTCCAACGTCGATGTTTCTTCTAGAAGCGTTTATGATCTATCTATTCAAGAGGGACGACGCTCTCATGAACGATGTCGAATCCCTTCCAGCCGTCCAAAGTCTTGAGGATTTCCTTCTCGTAATTTTCGATCCCGTGGCAGAATGTGACCAGCTCGGCCTTCTTGCCCGGTATGTTCGCCCCGGTCCACCACGAGTTTGTCAACGGAATCAGACTGCCTTCGGTGGTGGCGAGAACCGTCTTTTTCCATTCATCTTGAGCTTCCGGCGTGGGTTCGATGGACTTGGCGTGCTCCTTCTCAAGCTTTTCGATCGCGGCAAAGACGTAATCCAGCTGACATTCTAGGATGGTTGGACCATTGGATAGCGAAGTGGGAGCTACAGGGTGGTGAAGTTAGTCCTGACGTTGTTCTCTCCGTCCATCGTAAAGCATGGGGTATACGTACCTTGAGGGCTGTATACCATAAAGGCATTGGGAAAGCCGTTGATGAGGATTCCCAGGTATGACTTGATTCCGTCTTTCCAAAGATCCTTCAAGTCTATTCCATCCTTGTTGAGCAGGCCCATGTTCACAATCCTAGTGAGGACTCAATGTTAGCATGACTCGACCAGAATGAGGAGCGAGTGGTCGACGTACGAGCCTGTGTAGCTCTCGAACCCTGTGGCCAATGCAATCACATCAAATTCCCGTTCCTTCCCATCTGCCGTCAAGATACCCTTCTCGGTGAAGTGTTGGAGAGGGGCTGCGTTGAGGTCCACCACTTCGACATGAGGCATATCAATGCACTCGTAGTAGTCTTCCTCCAGAGGTTGGCGTTTCGTACCGTACCAATAGGGTGGCTCGGCTGGTGCCATAAGATCCATCTTGACAGGGTCGGTCATCCTTGCGCGGACCTTCTTGCGCCAGAAATCATAGACGATGCGATTTGCCTTCTTATCTGTGAGAATGTCTGTGTAGCCGCACGAATTCAGGCCCGCGCCACCACGGTTCCACCCGATCTCGAAGGCTTCTTCCCTCTCCTCTGGTGTCGCGTCGAGAACAGACTTGCCAGGAACGGTTCCTAGCACAGGTATGCCGACGAATGATTGTCTACCTGCTTTGAACAGGGCATGAAGGAGTCCCTTCTGCTCCTTTTGTTCCTGGATGGTGAGTGGTCGATTGCCAGCCGGCACGCAGTAGCTGGGACGACGCATGAAGTTAGTCAAGGTGTCGGCTTCCTTGGCCAGCTCTTGTACGATCTGTACGCTGGTAGCTCCAGTGCCGATAATGCCGACACGCTTGCCCTTCACGCTGAGGTTCTCGGGCCAGGCGCCGGAATGGTAAAGTTCACCCTTGTAGTCGCCCATGCCTGGAAATTCTGGCAGGTATTTCTTGTGCAGCAAGCCGGTCGCGATAACAATGTATTTGCCCCTGGCGACATGGCCTGCGCTTGTTTTGACCGTCCACAGTGCTTTCTTGGTGTCAAACTCGGCGCCGATGACCTGCGCGTTGAAGTATGTGTCCTTCCGTAGATCGAGGATTTTATCAATGTGTGCCATGTACTTGCGTAACTCGGTGTGATCGGGGAATCTTTGGCTGTAATACCAATCCTTTGTGACCTCGGGTATAGAGAGCTGATAGAAGGGCGCTTCGGAGTCGACTCGAGCGCCAGGGTATCGATTCCAATACCAGACGCCACCAAAATCGGTGCCTTCCTCGAAGATTTTAGCAGTCAACCCCAGCTTACGTGCTTTGTGCAAGGCCGTCATGCCACTGAAGCCACCTCCGACAATGATAACATCGCAGTCGATGGTCCCGGAATGGGCGCCATTCGGGGCATCGCCGTTGACGGCAGTCCCGTTCGATTGCGAATCATGAGAAACAACCATCTTTGTGTCGGACTCGGGCCTTTCCACCGTCGTAAAATGAAGTATAGGGGGTAGCACTGCGCGAAAGTATACGACTTTCACGCCATCATTTCATTCGGACCCCCGTATATCATTTATAAAAACCCCCATCTCCACACATTTGCCTCGGTCTACTTTTTTAGACTACTGTCCGGATGGTCGGACCGGTCTTTATAAAGCCAAGAGCCAGGGAGGGGGTGGTCTGCGACAGGGAGGTCCCACAGGTTTGCTGGGAGGAAAGATAACCGAAGTCTGGAGTACCCCCAAGCGAGTGGAGCCACCGGTCATCACTAGCCTATAGGCTCTTATTTCAAGCTGCATTGGAGATTTATGTACCGGTATTCACTGATATGTACAGCGGCACTCGGCACAATTCTGGGCAATGATCCGGGAAAGTCTTTCAACACACCCTTACCGAGTCAGGTTTTTGAAATAGACCGAATCTTCAGACTCAGTAGCGCCTTCTGACCCCGGACAAGCGTTACCCCACCCTCACCCGTCTGTCTTGGCTGGGATCACATGGGGTGCATCAGAGAGGAGAAATGCATGATCAATAATCAGCGATAGGCAGGTGTTTTTTTTGCGGGCTTCTCACACAAGGCTCACCATAGCGCATGGTAGGTTACTGAAAGTCGTAAAGAAGGGCGGCAGTCTCTTCAGAAGAGTTTTGTCGATAGTCCGAGATAATCGGCTCGGCGGCGTTTGAGTGGCGTCCTGGAGACGCACCAAAGTGCAATTAGGGCCACGTGAAAGGGTGCCACAGGTACCACTCCAGAGACAGGGAGTAAGTATGCAGACTGACAGAGACGGATGCACGCAAGTGATCCTGAAGCGGCGCTTGTCCAACAATTTCTCTCAGTAAACCAGAGATATTACAGTGGATTATTCCCACCAAGACTTCACTCTGGCTGAAGCTGAGGAAGAACTCCACATTGCGTGGGCGTTACTTTTCGTATTCACTGTGCAAACAGATAGACTTCGCACTACGCTGCGAGAGTTTCAGAGCCTGGATTTCCTGCTGGACCCCGCCAGCGCGGCATGGGCGTAAGAATATGAATCCAGGTAGAAGCTATACTTCCGTCAATACCTCTTCACAGCTCAACCATCGCTGGAGATCCTCTCGGACCGTGGCCCCGAAAGCACAGAGAAGTAGATATCTGTCAGGTGATGAAGGTGATGGAGTCGAGCTACTGTGGAGGATGATTGAATGAATTCGATCCGCACTGGTGTTGGGGGGTGTTATATCGTTCACACTCTCTTTTCACACACTACCATAGATGTCTGCTACTTGATATCGATTGGAGGCTTCTATTGACAGACAACACCTGTATCAGAGCCACCTGGTACCAAAATGCCTTTGAACCTCGCACCGGAATGGCTTGCCCTGGAAGAGACCCTGGGATTTCGGCCGTTGGTTACGGGCAACACTATCAAGCAAATAAGAGAGAATATCTCGAACATGACAAAGAACGCGCCTTTGCCAAAGAACGAACCAAGTCTTAACATCGGTAGGTCACTATACACAACTGCCGAGCCCCCCAATTGATCAAACAGGAGAGCTGACCCGATGAGACGTTGGCTTCAAGCCCATGAGAATGTAGGCCCTTTCCGCGTGCGAATCTATCAAGACAAAGGGAGTAATGGACACTCAGATGTAGTAGGGTTATGGTGAGCATGATTACCTCAGTGAAAGGCCATCTGCAGGAGAGAGTTAACAGTGGCCAAGGTTTCGTGAGTCTTTGGTTCTTTCGAAGAAGCAGCGTATAAACTGAGAGTTTTCCGAGATGGCGGTGGTTTCTGTGTTGGAGATCTAGAGGCCGACCACGGTTTGTTCTTTCCTTTCAAGTTCGCAGTTCCCGCGAAGTCTACTGCATATCTGATCCCTCGCGGCAGAACTCATCCAGAAACTGTGTCTGCATGCCCAGGTTCCCTTCGTGTCTGTCGAGTATCGGCTCGCGCCTGAGCATCCGTGGCCTGCATCATTGGAGGATTGTGTCGCTGCTGGAAAATGGGTGCGTTTCTTACATCTCTCTACACTGCCTGTTGTGTTCTCATCATGAAGCCAGGCAATCTCCCATTTCTCAAACTCGTCAGCTAGTCACAACGCAGTTCCAGAACTGCTCCTCTGTGGCGTCTCTGCAGGAGCCCAACTAGCCTTGTCCTCGGCCATTGCTCTACATTCACAGAACGTCTCCATCCGCGGTGTCATTGCTCTAGCTCCTGTGGTAGTTGCTGAGAAGGCGGTGCCTCCCGATATGCTACATTCCTACAAGTCGATGGAGGAAAACAAAGATGGTGCGATTATCGACAAGGCTGTTTTGGACATTTTCATGGGTACGTCCTAAGTGTGGTCTTCAGCTCGCAGGCGTATACATCACTTATTACAATCACCAGATGCCAACGGCCATGAACCATATGACAGCACTTTCTCCGTGCTGCTATCGCCATCTTTGGCCACGTTGCCGCGAACCTATCTAGTCACTTGCGGCGCTGATGTACTTCGCGATGATGGAATATTAATGGATCACGAGCTGCAAAGCAAAGGGTTGGTTCAAACTCATACACCGACCATATTTGTTGTTCGCTGACTTGGTCTGTCTCAGCGTTCTGACTCGGCGTGATCACTATGAGGGCTATCCGCATGTGTTTTGGTCGACACCAGGGTTGCAAGTAAATGCCAAATTCCTGGACAATTTACTACAAGGTCTGGATTTTGCTCTAGGCCGGACCAGCCAAAGTGGAAGCCGATGATATACCTTTTGCGAATGTCTTGACAAGAACAAAGAAGTTGTAACCCGCAGGCGCTTACCACACGAGACATAAGTGGGGGTGATATGGCCAAGACAGGAAACTACCTTCCAAGACGGGTCACGCATACAAATTTTCGCCCAAGGCTGAGCCCCAAGCTGGAATATGATAGGTTAGATTTCTCCAAACAGCACAGGGGTATCTTCCTCAAGACTCGAAGTTGTTCTATGAGATTGACATTAATAGACCTTTGTCTCTGAGCCAGATTCAATGCTACCAGTTATGGCTTGATAGACCCTATAGATCAAAATCTAGAGTTCTGCCAACGTATCTTGGCGCTCGGTCAGTGAAACGAAGGTGATATATCAGACATGTGATTGATCCAAGTCCGACTGCTAAACAACTGACAAGGGGGGTTGATTTTTGCCTACAGTTGAATACCCCAATAGCTCGCCATCGCTGAATTTACAGTATGTTTTGTTCTCCGGAGACAATCCCGCCCCCTCAAACGGAGGCGCCAAGTCACCTATCCAATGGCTGCCATTACCTAGGCATTTCTTGACGGCTACCCCGCTTTGGCTTGTCCACCGGTTGTCCAAAAGAGCCACCCTCGCAATATCTGCCCAAGGCCCAAGGAATTTGCCCGACTCTCTTGCCTTGTACCATAACCCGTCATGCTCCAACTCCCTCGTGGCCCAGAGCCAGATATGTCTACATCAAGTACCTACTATCGGCCTGTGCAACGTATTGCACAAGCCTGTTTTCTATGCAGGTGAGTGGGTCGATTTCCTTGGGCGGCTACTGTCACTATGTCAAGCCGTATTCATAGACACTCCGACGTCTGCTTGTTTGCTCTTGTGCTACTTCGCTCCCAAGGATATGATACTCACATCCTGCTCTCCATCACAGACGGAGAAAGACCCGGTGCACCGGTGAGCGGCCCAGGTGCGAGAGCTGCAGACGTTTGGCACAGTGTGAGTACTGCCCACGTCATCTTCTTTCCCGTCTTGGGATAACATTCTTCTTACAACGCAGACTGCCATTATCCTGATGCTGACACCAATGGCAACGGCAACGGCGTCAATAGAGGAGCGATGCATGGCAAGGACATTGAAGGGATGGTGCCGGCATCACAACTAGTAAAAGCACTTCGTTCTAGTAGGACGTTGTTCTCCAGCCTCTGTCACTGACAACACTACAGGTAGAAATCACCACGCGGCTCGACACGATCGAACAACTCCTAAAGAGCCTCAGCGAGAAGATGGAATCGTACGTTTTCAATCTGTCGCGATCCTGCTCAGGAGATACTAAGACGAAAGCTAGCGAATCTGACCGACTTCTCGATTCTCACAGCGGAAAGGCCATGTCAGAGTCATCTCGAACTGGAAATAGTCAGGTCGAGTCCTCTAGCAGGATCTCTACGACGGGGACATATACAGGCCTTCCGGCCAACGGCAATGGTTCCACAAGTTCGGCTCTGACTGGTGCCATGGAAAGCACCGCTGGACAGACAGATTTCCTCAGGCTGGCGCCGCTGCCTGTTCTTCTGGAGACAGTCGACATCTACTTTACCTTCTGCCACAATCAGCCCTATTCTTTTTTCCACGAGGGCAATTTCCGGGATCGTTTGTCGAGAGGCGAGATTCCCGACCACCTGCTCTTTGCCGTGTTTTCAAACGCTATCCGATTCTCTGGGAATTCTTTCTTCGAGCATACCAAGGAACAAGCAGCCACGACCCATGCCAATCGCTCATGGAATCTAATCGTCGAGACATGCTTTGCTGCAAACCAAAAGGCAGACATTCGAACAGTGCAGACCATCACACTGCTTGCAATATTTGATTTTACCGGTGAGTTGTCCGTCTCCGGTCTCCTTTTCTCGGGTTCATGAAAGATGCGGTGTCACTAACAATGTCTTTGGTTTCCCCTGTTATTCTATCTAGCTGGACCAAGTCGACATGGCGCTGCATGGGTCAAAATTGGCATGGCAGTGCGCATTGCTCAAGACTTGCGCTTCATGATCGAGCCAGGTAACCACATACCTTTTGACGAAGCCGAAGAACGTCGAAGAACCTTCTGGTCGCTATATCTCCTGGATCGCCTGGTGTCGTGTGGCCGAGGACGCCCCCCCGCGATATTGAATGCTTCTTGTCAGTTACAGCTCCCCGTTGACGAGGCGACGTGGAGGGACAGACAATGGAAAGAGACGTCGAAGCTTGAGCAATTATCCAACGGCGCGCATTTGAACCCTGCGCAGCACAGCCCGTTCGCTCATGTTATCCTGATAGCATACATTCTCGGACGCGCCGCCCAGTACATGCTGCAGGAGTTTGGCGTCAACCGACACCCACCCTGGGACTCCAGCTCCGAGTTTGCCGCCATCGGCTCCGATCTTTCATATCTGGAGACGCAAATGGAAATGCACAAGCCCCTGGAGGCTATGCTCGGGCCATATCGCAATTCTGCTGGTGTCGTGGATCAGGCGAACGCCGGGCCCATAGTCTTTGCCCGAGCATTGTTCCACCTGTGTAATTGTCTACTGAACCATCCATTCCTGCTGAGACGCAAGATTGCATCATGTAACAGGGTCGCCTCTGGCCGATTCCTGTCCCGGGCGTTCGAGTCCGGCTTGGACTCGGCCAAGGGTTTGATCGGACTGTTGCAGGACGCACGCAAGGCCGGCTGCATCTCGCACACATCGTTCTACGGCTACTGTGCCATCATTTCTGGTACGATATTCATCATGAATGCTCATGCGGCTACAGGCGACGTCCAAGTGCGTTGTTTCGAACTGCTTCAGGAAACGACGTCATTCATTGAAGACATCAGTCGTTACTGGCAGAACGTCGCCACAATGGTAAGTCTCAAAAGTATTTGTTTAGGTGTCCAAGTCGTGCGCTTGTCCATGGGAAAGCTCAATGCAGACCTTGGCTGATTTCTATCCACGCCCAGGCCCTCGCACTTGACGTGTTCGCCGCACAGACGTACCTATTAAGCGAACTTGCGAGCGACAAGCCTGAGATTCAGATTCTCTCGCCCGCCGACACGGAGATGCTGTGGTCTTTGGTCGACTATAGTACGCTATCCAACGGCAACATCGCGCAACAGACGGCCAACGAGAGCCCAGACGACAGTTTCTGGTTCAACAACAACTCGTCATGGTACGACCTATTCAGCAGTCCCAGCGTTGCCCAGCTGGGATTTGTATCTCAGAGCGAATCGGTGGCTTTTACAACAGTCCCGGGCACCGACACCAGCACGACGGAAGACAACAGGTTCGATGCTACTCAAACGACAGATCAATGCTGAAGAGGCCTGATGCTCTGTGGCAAACCCTTTTGCCGAAAATGGGTAACGTCCTTTGGTTCTATCACTCTGCCCACGGACCGAGTTCCGCCTTTTGATATGGGCAACAGTGAGGAATCTGGAGGAATACCGGAGAACGGCGTAAGCATTTCCTTAGCCCCCCAGCAACACATAATACCAGGTATCAGTCGTGAAGGAAATTAAAACTTAGTTCTAGTATATCCTATCTTGGGCCTCTACAGGGAATTTGCCGTTCAAAGGTTAGCTGAGAGAAATTCGTCTTTAAGCCTCCTGGCAACCACAGACATGACGCCATTACGCGGTCTCGCGGCAAAGCATCCTCGGACATGGTGCCGCTACACACACGGTCAACAGGCCATCTGAGTCCAGATGGCACTACCAGTTCGTGCCGATGCCTTCCTATACAAGTTAGAAGCCCTCGGTCCGGCTTGTCCACCAATCGTCGCTCGCGTCGCTCGTTCGCGTCGGCCCCATCCACATACATCTAAGCGAACAGGATCAGCGGGCCGTGTGCGTCTCGTTTTACAATCTCTGGGCCCCAGTGCTTCACGCGTCCGAGACCGTTCACAATAGTCTGCCCGGCTATACGACTCTCCGTGAATGTCGGACTAGGTGGCGAGTGATGAGCTTTTACAGCTTGTCAGAACAAAAGTCGTTTAGTCTGAAGCTGTCTCCGGGAATGTGGTCCGCAATATACCTCCCTCCCGGCCAATCCAGCGACTTTTTCCACGTTCATCTTGAGTCCTCGGTGTTCACCACCCCTTCCTGTGTACCTTTGGTGAGATATTCGGTTCCCCTCTGTCTCCATTCTTGTTTGTTTGTTTCTGTGTTCAAAGGTACTGTTGAGAAGTTCAGACTCCTCGACGATCTCTACGCGGCGGCAGACAATGGCGGCTTTACCAGCACCTCTGACGGCTACTGCCGAGCATTTCAATTTCGCGACAGACGTCGTTGACAAATGGGCACTCATCGACCCCAGCCTGCGCGCGATGCTGTGGACGACGGCCGGCCCTCGCGGCAATTCGCCCCCTCGCACATTCACCTACCGCTACTTTCGAGACCAGAGCCATCGGGCGGCACACCTATTGAGAGACCTCGGCGTCCAACGTGGAGATCGGTTGATGATCGTCTCGAACAGAGTACCCGCATGGTAAGGACTCCATGCATTGAGTGGTTTGCAAATGGGAAGACTTTTGTGTGCTGACACGGCAGGCGTGCAGGTGGGAGGAAAGTTATCTCGACTCTTATACTACATCCGACGGTATGATGTGTGCAGGCCGAGCTAACAGGTGGACTGTAGATTGCTACGGCGGCGATACGGTCTGGCGTTGTCCTTTGTCCGTGTACCGTGCTGGCGACTCCCAAAGATATCGAGGTGAGCGGCATGGGCCAAAGATGGTCATGCCATCAAGGAAAAGGAGCGATGAGAAATCCCGCTAACCTGCGCGACTTCATCAGTACCGTGTTCAAGCCTCACAATGTACCATCTTCGTTGGCAATCGGTCCACCATCAGCGCTTTCCTCGGAGTCAAGTCAAGATGTCCTAGTGTGCGAGTCATCTTGCAGATCGACGGCGAGCCGCACGAGGACGCGGTCCAGTACCGGCACGCCTTGAAACAGACGTCTTTGCAGGACTTCATCGGGCCCAAGACGACATGGTCGGACCCGTGCATCATCTATTTCACGTCTGGGACTACAGGCCTGCCCAAAATGGTGCTTCACAACCAGGTCTCCTACCCTCTAGGTACCACTTCCTCTGCTGCGCCAGATGGTGCATCCACTGGCATAGAACGTGGCACGAGAAAAGTGATTCGAACTGACTGTATCGGTAGCTCATGCTTCAACCGGCAAATACTGGTTGGATCTGGACCAAAGTAAAGTCTTCTGGACGCTGGCGGAGCAGGGATGGGCCAAAGCGGGATGGTGAGTGTGTTGAGGCCAGTTCAGTACATTCATTCCATGAAATTCACGTTGAGGTTTTTGATGTTTTTTATCCTGCGGACGACTAATGTTCCCCTCCTGGGGGCCCAGGTCATGGTTCGCGACCTGGAACATGGGCGCCACATTGTTCATCCAGGATGATCGAGGCGCGTTTTCCCCCCAGTCGCTGATCGACACGCTCGCCGAGCACGACATTACGACTCTCTGTGCGCCGCCGACCGCGTATCGCCAGCTCGTCACCCCGGATCTGCAGGCGTACTTTGCGCAGAGGAGACCTAGAGCTCTACAGCATTGTGTTAGCGCGGGAGAGCCACTGAATCCCGAGGCTGTGAATGTGTGGAAAGCCATGAGCGGGATTGAAATCAAGGACGGTATGCTTGCCAACTCTCTCCAACCGTCGCGCTCTCCCCCTTTCCGACTGGTATTATATCAGAGTGACAACGTCTAACTTCTGCCACGAACAGCATACGGTCAAACCGAGACGACCATGGCTGCGGGGAATTTCGTTGGTGTCAAGGTGAAGCTGGGCAGTATGGGCAAAGCCACGCCCGGCGTGCCGCTCGACGTGATTGACGAGCAGGGCAACATTGCCCCCGACAACACGGAAGGTGACCTCGCAGTCAAAGTGGTGGACGAACACGGCAGGAGGACCATGGGTGTCTACGACGGATACATTTCGAAAGACGGTCAGGTGAGTCGGGCTACCAGAGTGTCATCGTCGTCATCGTCGTCGCTGTCATCGCGAAGTCGACCAGGCAAGTACGCGGCGGAATGGCATATTACTGGGGATCGAGCGTACCGCGACGCAGACGGGTATCTTTGGTTTGTAGGCCGATCCGACGACGTGATCAACTCGAGCGGCTACAGGATTGGTGAGTATAGGATCCATCCATTTGCCCGTACCTTTTTCCCTCTGAAGAAAGCTGGTTTCGTTTTATGCAGTGTCTAACCACTCGATCATGTCCCCAAACAGGCCCCTTTGAAGTCGAATCCGTCCTGAAACAGCACCCGGCCGTACTCGAGTCCGCCGTCGTGGCCTCCCCAGACGCCAACCGCGGCGAAGTGGTCAAGGCCTTTATCGTGCCGACCCAGGACTACCGAGACCGCGCGTTCGCCCCCGAAACCGCGGCCTCGCTGATCCGCGCGATTCAGGATTTCTGCAAGAAGGAGGCCGCGCCGTACAAATACCCGCGCAAGATCCAGTTCGTCGAGCCGGCGTTTTTGCCCAAGACCACGAGCGGGAAGATCCAGAGGGGGGTTTTGAGGAGGATGGAAAATGCGGCGGCGGCTACGAAGACGATGCGGGGATCGCATGGCGATGCGAAATTGTGAGTTGATTCGTCAAGTTCATGAATGACTGAGGAGAGGGTGGGAGGAGTCCTGGAGGGCAACTCGGGAATGAAGACTGTCAAGAGTCAGCTTTGTCAGAGATTTGTTAGCTTCTGTCGATGGAAGAGGGTTCAAGAGGTCGACTAGAAACCTAGAAACCTAGAAACATATGTAGACGAGGTATACACAGGAAGCTCCAGGCGGCTAGCGATGTATGAGGCACTAGGCCGAGATTTCGTTGAGGGCAGCCGTCAATGATAAGTGGGTGGAAATGGAGCTGCTGCACATGGAAACCTTTTGATAGAACAAAAGAAGCTAGGTAGATTCTTGATCGATATTCATGTTGAACATATTAACCGGCTCGCCGGTGAAGTTTGTATGTACTGGGGTATGATGGATGTGCAGAAGAAGCTAGGAGGATTACGAGGTCTTGTGTCTGCGGGGAGCGGAAAGGGGAAAGGAGGGGTTGTCATTGCCAGCCTGGCACCCCTAAACTCCCTGGCATGGGATCTTTTGGGAGCCAAGAGCCTGGCCTGGGCACCCCTAGGTACCTATGCAAGTATGAGCTACAAACCTCGCTCAAGTGCCCGGCAGCCACACTGAGCGTTCAGGAGGGCCGAACTTCGGCATGAATCTTTACCTGCCAGGTCTCGTGGGCGCAGGCAACGCTTGCAAGGTACACAACAACGACTCAATAGAAGGAGTGCCTGTTGCTATCACTGAGAACTTGGGTACATAAGTAACAACCTCCCCTTTCTTCAACTGTCAAAGGGCCGTCAGAGTCTGGACTCCCGCATATCCTACCCCGAAGACCCATCACTTGTTTCCTGGTGAATGGGACTTTTTACGAGCCACGAAACTACGAAACCTTCTTCAGCGCGACACCGCATGTCCATTCGCTCGTGCCTCAAACGCCTCGGGTCATTGCAGCCCACCTTGCATAAAGGTACCCGGCAGCAATCGCGGGCCCTTTGCGCACCACTTCATGCCGTCAATGAGAGGGCAGCCTACAGGCTGGTTCATGCATGGGCCTTTCGGGAAACGCACCCCAAGCACACAATCTGCACATGACGCGCGCAACCGCCAGGTCACAACCAATCTCACCATCGCGATGCAAGGGACGCTGATTGGCCTCAGACAACAGGGTTCAGATGGGAGAACTAGCGGCGGTGTGGTCTCGACTCATCCAGTCTGCCGTCACCCATCGCAAAAAAAGTACTTGGTAGAGAGAGTCTCCAAATATTCATCACTAAAGGTCCCTGGCATGGGCCAATGGAATCCCATAGCCCGTCTCCGGTTTTGCCAAAGGTCCCTCGTCCCTGCCAGTAACAAGTACCAAACATGATTGTGGTCTGTGCGAGTACTCTCTCTACCTGCTGGTCTGAAGCTAGGGAGTTTCAAGTCTCCGTGTCTCTACAAGCATTGTGGTTAGTTGCGATGGGGATAGTCGGTGACATTTCTGGACCTTCAAGGACAACAAAACCTGGTCCCTTGGGTATCTCGGAGATCTTCAAACACTTAAAATCGCCACATCCCAAACAAGTGGAAGATCTTCCACCATCTCTCCTATATTTCTATCCAATATGTCTGCGATAAACAGTGCGCGAACAGACGCCATAATGTCTTGCATGCGGCGCGTGAGCCGTTACCTGGACCAATGTTACGATTTCGATCACCTTCACGCCCAGATTCCCAGCGCGGAATACCATAAA